ACTAAAATTATTCCTTTGACTTGAGAAAGGTTACCACCTTAGTCAGATTGTGTTACATGTATATAATGATTCTAATTGGTTGGTTGTGGTATATATATATATATATTGGTCGTGGTACATTATATCATAATTTCATATAATGATTTATATAAAATGATTGGATCAAAAAAATTTCGACCAAATAGAAAAAAAACTTTTTCACTCTGCTTTTAACACATTGTCAATACATAAACCATTATACATTTTAATATGTATGAGTGATATTATTCTTACTCGTCATCGAGACATGGCGAGAAAGGTTGGGATTAGAACAAGGATTGTACTTGTTTTCCTTTTGTTTAGGACAAGAAACATTAATAGTCTATGACAATTACCTAATCTCATTATTGTTAAGCTTATCGTAAAAAAAAGGGGGCCGATGTTCCCGCCGCATTTAGCGGGAGATTATTATAAATAGTTGAACATATTGTAATTTGGACATTGTTTGATCCTATTTTTTTCAAAATACGTTTTTTTTTTCAATTACATAATTTTCAATAAAATAATATTACACGCAATTCAAAATTTTTTCTTTTATTTTTAATCACACGTTTCAATCTATGATTCTAAAATGCAATTTACACAAAAAAAAAGAAAAAAAAGAAAAATAGAGCTCAAACAAACCCTTAAAAAGTTGTTTATATAATTATATTTGTACTCATCGCTTTTTTGAATAAGGACACGACTCACGAGCTATCAATTTGAACTATGCCTACTTTTTAAAAAAAAAGGTTGAACCCATTGAGAGCCCCCCACGGTCATGCCCCTAGAGCATTGTAGAGGAGGTAACTAGTAGGATGTGCCTTAACAGGTCAGGGTACAGAGCTGTCATATTGGTGCCCACAAAGAGTCCAATTCCATACCTTGTAAGAGGTAGGAATCGAACCTCCATACTGCAGCTGCCAACTTAGTTGAGACTACCTCACTCCTGTCCTTTGCACCACTCAGCCTACTTTTTTATGCTCGATACAACCTACATTTTTCATCGAGCGTCGGCTGAATAACATTTTTTATTTTTTATTATGCTATTACATTATTCTCTTCCAAGTATTTATATACTACTTAAGAATCAATTGAAATTTTTTTGGTGTTTTATCTATAGTTAAAAAGCCTAATGTACCAGCTCAGACAAAAGAAGATATTTGAAAAGTAGCAGAAACATTCAATTGAATTAGGTCGAAAAATAATTTGTATGTATAATTGAATACAAAAAAAAAAAAAAGGACACAAGTTCACATGGTTCCAGCGTAGATGAGAATCATTGTACGTTGAAGTCTGACGAATAGGCCCCCACCTGCATACCACGTGAACCCCAATAGCCCATAAAGCATAACAGGACCCAACAACACAATTTAATAATAATTGTCTGCACCTATTTGTGTGTGCCCCACCATGGTTAAGTTTTGCTTGGCATCGATCTCGAGTCTAATCCCTGGATATTTCGATAAAATCTGCAGTTAATATATATGAATTTACGTAATGTACCAATATCTTTTTGTTCTTTAAAACAATGAGCATGAAAATAAAAATGCAACTGATCGATCCATTTGAGAGGCCGGGTATGAAAAATCAGGCCATTTCATAAGTTTCTTGATTTTTCCTGATTTATTATTATTTTTTTCTTGACAAGAACTAGACCAAATTAAAAACTAAGTCACTGTTTGAACCACATTAAAATTTTTATTTTTATTTTTCTATTTATTTTCAATCACACATTCTTTTATAAAATAATATTTTTCATCACATCAATAACTTTTCCTTCTTTTTCATCTACATTCTCCATTATTCTACTATTCCAAAATATATTCTTCCAAAATAATGTGACTCAAACATACCATAATGAAAATTTTACTAATAGAATCAAACTATCAATGTGTTTAAAGATTTGAGATTTCATATTAAAATATCAACTTTATTTAAAGGACTATTAGTTTAAATCCTTATAATAAGTTGGTTTATGCCCCTGTTTAAGTTACATTAAAATTTTCATTTTCATTTTTCTAATCATTTTTAACTACACATTTTTCAAAAAAAATAATATTTTTCATTATATCAATAGTTTTTCATTCTTTTTCAACAACACATTCTTCATCAATCTACTATTTCAAAATACATTATTTCAAATGTGACTGCACACCCTATGTCTTCATTTTCTATTCGATCGTAAGATGATGGCTCATTTGAATAAACAAATTTTGAAATCCGCACGCTCATTTTTTCAGTTTTAATCGAATCAAATTACTCGTTGAACTTCAATGGTGCTCAATTTTTGAGTTTGCAACTTAAGTTCTAAGACCATGTTAAGCTTTGATGTTCCATTACAAAAGTCAACCTTATTAACACGGTCACTTTCTCATGACATGGATGTAATTATTCAAAATAAGCAGAATTTTGGGCCTCGAGTTTACTCACTCCTTGTCTTGCTCAATTTTTTCAAGCAAAAGTCTATTATGCTTATACGACAAAAAATTATAAACAATCCACAGGTACATCTCCAATTTTTCACCCTTTTCCTGTTTCTCACATAAACATCTGAGATATAAAAATAACAATAAATAAAAATTAGAGACCATTAAATCACTGTCATCGTGGACAATTTTATTTAAATTTATAATTTGATATATAATAAGAAATAACTAATTCTATAAAGCATTAATAAAATCAAACCAAACTGAGGGAAATTATTTTTTTTATCATCAATTTTTAAATTAAAAAGGGACCTCCTCAAAAGATAAATGCTGTTTCCATGTTATGTATGCGGCAGATTAATGAGCTCACAACTAAACAATTTCACATTTATGACAATACAGAAAGGGCATGGACAATTTGACAAAACAATCACTGAAACGAAAACACCAAAATTATCAAAATGTAACACCAGTTGTATCAACTATTCCATTCCACAACACACCAAGTGGAGATCTAGTTAATGCTCGTTATTTCATATTCCCTCCCTCACCGCATTTGAACAATTCCCGCACTGATCAGTTTCTGTATCTTGTTCATAACAAGAGGGTTCCTCATGTGATCCTGTGCAGACTTGGGATTTTCCTGGAGATCGACTAGGACCTGGAAAATACAACATAGTTATAATCATAGAATTCATTTATGGACTTCTCTAAATTATACTAACAGTCGAGAAATCTACAGTTCATACCTGTTGCATCACTGGATCCGTTAAAATGTTCTGAATCTCTGGATCTTGCATTGCCTTAGCCTGCAGCAGTCAACGTAGTTAAAAAAATCATGATTCAAACATAGCTCCACAAAAAGATATGAGTAGAAATATATCAAACCTGTCTCTCCTTGAGTTCATCGGGGCTCAAGTCTCCACGGCTAGCCTTGTTTATTTGCTGCACACACCTGTACAAAAACTCGCATTAGTAATGGAGTCCAAACCCATAAAACGTTTTCATTCAATGAACTGAACCGAATAAGTAATAAATGTTTCCTATACCTCCTAACACCGTCCAACAATTCCGGGTTCTGGGGATCATGCTTTAGTCCTTCCTGGTATGTCTCCAAAGCCTTGTCATATTCTTTCATAAAGAACCGGATTGCTCCCCTTCTAGTATAACCTTTAGCAAATGTTGGATCGAGTTCAATGCATTTTTCAGCATCTTTCAGTCCCTCAGGAAGAGCCCCAAGCTTTGTGTAACAAGCAGCCCTATTGCTATATGCCTGCAAACTCAAAGATGTTACCGTAAATCCACATGAACATGATTTCAACCTTTTGAACAGTCTGTAACTCACTAAAGGACTCGGAAACAAAGAGAACGTGTACAAAAGAGACTAAAAATAATCTAAAGTAATTAATGACTGGACGAAACCAAGAAATTCCTATTCCACGAATATGATATATATCTAGAGTGATGTATGGAATCCACATGAACAATATCTTTAACTCAATACTTAAAATTCATATGCCAGCAATAAAATGATACCTTGGGATCCTTTGGGTTCCTCTTTAATGCTTCTGTGTAGTGCTTCACAGCCTCTGGATAATTTTGCTCTTTGAAATACTGGTTGCCTACAATGTGATAACAAATTCAGTTACAACTGCAAAGGCATAAACAATGCGAACCAATAATACACTTAAGAAGCCAATACCTTTCTCACGCTCCTCATCAGCTATCTGCGGATCAAAGTACTCTTGTTGTTCTAGTTCTTTCTTCGCTTTCTCAGCATCATTAAGCTTCCTCAATGTATCAGGGTTGCGATGCTCTGTAAGCGCTTTATGGAAAGCCTCAATGGCAGGTTCGTAGTCCTTCGAACATTTTGCCATCTTCAGTAAGGTAGTTCCCTTTCTTGTCAGAGCTCTTGCGACCATCTTATAGTCTGACCGCATCTCTCTCCCCCTTTCAACAGCTTTGTCACAATCTTTAATGCAATCCTCATACTGTAAGTGACAAACAGATTAAACAACATCAATTATATGCACAACCGCAAGTAGAGAAGTGGGAAAAAGTTTATCCCGCACACATGGCCTGTTGTTTACCAAATTTATCTCCGTACTTATCCCAAACACAGTCAACGTAACAATTATTTTAACCCATGTCACTTTCTCATGCCCCCTCTTAACTTTTTATCTTCCTCTCCTTTTCATATATATAATATTAAAGAGATCAAATGGAAGAATAAATTGACTGCAAAAGAAGCAAGCTTCTAATTTTGTTTCACATAACGCTGGTGAAGAATTTAAAAGACATGCTTACCATGCTCAGAGACGCGATGAATAATTATACCAAAAACCTTGACCTCTTGACCACACACACAACACTCCCTTTCCCTTCATTTTCCTTCTTCCCAAGAGAAAGGAAGGGAGAGCACTACAATGAACCGAAAGGACTAATGTAGAATCTCTTCTAAGGTGTCAATCACCAAGATGCAGGAACTGACATCTGTCAGAATGTGCTGTCTCACTTTCATGACGACGTGCCTCCATGCTACAGAAGGACCAACAGACACGTGATCCATGCAATCATCCATGGTAATATTAGACACCCTTCTATTTGTTGCATTCATGTGCTTAATCATTGTTTAAAAATATCTAATAACATAACAATAAATTAATGATTAGAGACAACTGAACGGACAAGAAAACGTTTTATCCTCTTAAAGTCCAAAGAAATTTTTATCATTCTACTCTAACTCTTCAAGGCGTTACAGCTCCTGAATACAGCACTCTTTATGTGCGTTACTTTAATTCCGGAATGCACAGTAAGTTACAGTTAGCCTACAAATCTCATCGTCAAGAATCTTCATAATCACTTGGATACACGGATGTCATCAGGCGGAAATCACTCAAGAACTAAAACATCCTCATTACAAGTGGTGGAAGTATCTCCATTGATTTCAATAAAGCCTTTATTCAATACTTACCTGCACTTGGCCACCAAGAAACCCTTTTTATGTTTGGTTTTACCAAGAGAGAGATACAAAAGTAAATCACAAAGACTTGCATCCTTCTCCATTACATCATTCCACGTTATTTAAGCTACCCTTGCTTTCCAAATTTACCAGAAGTAATAATTTTATCGATCCTTACTGGTCTCCCTGATAGATATCACTAGATATGTACAAACAAAATATCAACCATCTCTTCCGCAATTTATCTTTGACAATCAATGCTATAACTATCTCACAAGTATGTTAATTGGCTATTAATAATCAAAGTATATGTCTCCTAGTGAATCCCAATCCTTCCTCATGTCACATTGCAAGTTCTATTATAGCCTCTAGCAATTAAACTTCAAGGAGTCAAAGGCAACTCAGGCAAGCAAATCTACTTGTCTTTGCAAAGACCTTGATCACAGAAAATAAAAATAGCTATAAGATTTCGACTCTGGAGGCATAACAAACTTAATTAAACTACTAGAAAAAAATCTGCATCCAATCGATTCGAATCCTATCAGTAACCACTCAGACTGCAAAAACTTAAGTTCAGACTAACCCTGCACTTACCAACATGCGAATCAAACCCATACTCAACATCACTTCCAAAAATTTAGCAATATTCATACTAAAATTCATAAATAAATCATTATGATCCACCAAACCAACTTTCAGTAACCTACTATATCAACTAAAATACACTAGAATTCTAAGATAAAAATAATAACCTTTGACCATAATCACAATTGACATCCCAAAACACCACTATCAATCAATTAGATCCGGCTAATCAGCTTTCCCTAAAACTAAAATGTCAACCAAACCAATTGCAAACAGATTTATCATGAAAATAAAAATAATAAAAAAATTATCCCACCACAGTCCATTTAAGAACAAAACAAAGATTCAAGTATATAATGTACCTTCCCCATCTCCAAGTACACAGCAGCACGATTAGTGAGGAAAGAAATATCCTCATCGTCGATCTCAATGGCTTTGGTGTAATGCTGAATTGCAGTCTCAAAATCCTTCTTCTTATACGCTACATTCCCAGCCTCCTTCTCCTTCTGGGCCTGTGTTTTTTTCTCCTTTTTCTCCTTCTCTTCCTCTAAGTCCATCGGCTCGGGCCTCTTCTCCTTGACAGGATCGGCCTCAGCAGCTGCAGGCCTCTTACTCTCTGATGACCAACGTGATGACGCCTCGGCCATTTTTGTATCTTCTTCAGCTCCCCTCGTCTGAGTTTTCACGTTCATCAACACTCTCAATGCCTGCATCATTCTTTGATCATTCACGTACGAGTGCAAATTATTTGGATTTTTCTGAAGGTCCTGCAAGATTTTAACGAAATCAGGCTGCTGCAGGAACCCCCGAGTCGTCGGGTCATTTCCCAGCTTAACCCACATATCTGGCCCAAACGCCTCCGCGAACAGACTGACACCCGGTCCGGTCCGAGGCGACGAAGATCTAGCAAGAGCAGCCTCCGCATCGGCGAGTCCAGATTTAAGTGGATCGTTATTAGGGTCAATCTCAAGACCCTTTCTGTAAGCCAATACAGCATCATTGTAACTATGTAAGCCCATGTGAGCAGCGCCAAGACGGGAGTAGCCCTTGGACCAGTCGGGCTTGATCTCGACGGTCTTCTGGGCATCCGAAAGCGCTTCAGAAAACT